TAATAAATTTAATTACCCATTCTCCCATCAATTGGTGGTGTCCTTATACTCAGTCTTCCAGGAGCAATCAGTGAGTTTAATACTCTCTAAAATAAATAAACAATATCAGCAACGAGACACCTACAGTGCTTGGGACTCGCTGCAGTGCAGTTACTCTTGCATTTACAATGTATGTAAAAGCAATGAAACATGCAATGGGCTTCATCTCTATTATGCAGCATGATAGAGACAAGAACCATGATTCAATGCTTTCAATAATAATGCATGTTTTGCACTGACTAAAGTCAAAAGAGCTTTAAAAAAACTAACACCTTTTGTGATGGCACAGATACTGTTGTCTTGATAGATTTTATTTGCTGAAGAGATCATGCATAAGACAGCAAAACAAAAAATAATGCATTAAGAAATGCAAGCATGTAAAATTGCGAATTATTAATAGAGGCGTGGTTTCTTGGCCTAGAGCACTTAGTTTCTTAATTAAAAATATTTTTCAAAAATCTAATTAAAAATTCATGATCACAGACAGAGAACCAAAATACTTAATACTCACCCATGCAGTGAGTCCAATTATAACACATGTACCATGGTTTTTTCAAAAAATGCCCCCAAAACCACCCCAAATTTTTATTACATTTTCTGATACATATTGATGTCTTTACGCTGTGTAGCAAGTTTGAGCTGATCCGACATCAATTTTTCAAGTTACGGCCATTTTAAAAAAGCACCAAATTTCTGAAAAGGACCCAAGGCTATAGCCCATGGTTTTTTCCAAAAAATGGCTCCAAAATCACCCCAAATTTTTATTACATTTTCTGATACATATTGATGTCCTTATGCTGTGTAGAAAGTTTGAGCTGATTCCGACTTCAATTTTTCAAGTTACGGCCATTTTAAGAAAATGTCAAAATTCTGAACATGCAATTATCATAGTCTCAATACCTTTCTACTGGGAGGTCTCATTGAGTCGGTCTCAAGTTTCCTCTTCTCACCTCCTCCTCTTGAGGCCCCACCTACAGCCCTGCCCCTTTCCTGAGCCCTTGCTCTAATGCAGGATAAAACTGCCAAGTCATTGACGGCTGGCGTCATAGCAACAGTTGGTCTCCTAACAGTGACTGAGGATACAATTGAGGGTAATGTGAAGGAGGTAGTCCCTCCAGAGCTACCTGACCGCCTCATTGATGACCGGGGAGGGTGGGATATAACAGTGTCAGGCCCAGCTTCTCTTGGAATAATTCTCCTTCCTATAGTTAGTGAGGGATCATTTGGTCTAGGAGGAGGCGGTGGAAATGATCTTGAATCTGATGAAACAGTAGCCTATTAATAATAATAATAATAATAATTGGAGAATTATCTCCTTTTCATTTTTGGCAAAACTTGGCCAAACTCCCTCTACTATAGTACAGGGACCTTTGTCCCATTTTAAAGTAACTTTAAAAATTAATAAAATATCTAATTTTGATTGCAATCAGTTCAAACTTTCTACACGACATAATGTATCAGAAACCAGGATACTTCCATAATTTTTCTTAATAAGAGTTACTCTAAACTCTCAATACACATATATACATGTATATACAGCATTTGTATAATCAAGTGAATTATCTCCCAGCCATTACTATATCATAATAATTGTTACCCTTTCTGGAGTATCGGTTCCTCTTAATGGGAAGGTGGTTAATGTATTGACTCCACCCACTGGTCTATCTACTAGTGATGGAGGACCGCATGATGGTGGTACGTGTAGGTTCATTAGTAGGTGTGGCCTGATAAAAGCGGGCGGGGTCTGTATGGGAGGAGCAGAAACAGCTCTTGATTCTAACTAATGGAGGAAGAGAAAGAGGGAGGGAGAGAGAGGTTAAAATGAAATAGAAAGGTAATGTTCTATTTAATACTTACATTTAATTTAATTTGTCGTAGTCTCGCATTTTCCCTATAAAATAAATAAAATAAAATAAAATACCCCATCAATAAGTTACTTTTCAAATAACAGTATTTCCTTTCTTTTCTAGCAGCAAGATTCTGCAACTGATAATAGTTTATTAATTAAATATAATAGTTAATTAATAACTAACTTTCTGTAGTTTGTGCTTTACTAATCTAGTCCTATGCTCCTTTTGAAACCTAGCGACCTAATAAAAGTACACGTACATGTAATGAAACACGTGGGTGTGGCATTGATTGGGTGTGGTTTAAATTGTTGACCATATATGGTATTACATGTACATACTCGTTCAAAATTTAGGACGAATTCCTGTATAATGGACTAAGGAGTCTTGAAATATATCGTGACATATGGTGGAGCCTGTAGAGGGAGAAAGAACGATTAATAATTACTTATTTTAATTTACTTCTTTTGACAGATCAAGAACTGAATTACACACTGCCTTACATACGAGACAGAACTTCTCTCTCTCACCTAAATATGGCAATAAATTAAGAAGCAAAATCCAAATGTTCATAAATTCTATGTTAATACCATAGGATTTCCCACAGAATAAATGACCACACGACGTTATAATGAACTGGGTGTTTCTTCTATTCAGTGTAGCAATTGTTACAATGCGTCCAGTCCTTCACACCCCGGCACCCACCATTTTATTATGGAATACTCCAGTCCAATTACTCTATTGAATTTTTTATTGACCACGTGGCATTGCGCATGCGCAGATGCAGAATCGGTATTCGATTCCATCGATTCCAGTCTCAAAAGTATTCAGAATCGGAATCGAATGCAAATTTCTGGCTAAAACTAATAAATATTTTATTAACCACCAGATAATACGTTATTAATTATTTGATTTATCACTGTCCTTTGAAATTAAATTTCCGCACAAACTATGCAGTGGAACTATTTAATTAAACTGAACTACACTTATACACTAAAACTGGGGAGCAAACGAACATGATTTTCTACAGCATTGAGTAGTTCTAGTACATTCAATGTGGCATAGGTTCATAAACATAAAACTGGGCGGGG